TTGACGTATTTATAAACATTTATGAGGTCACCCCTCAGCCTCCTCTTCTCCAAGCTGCAGAGCCCCAGCTCCTTCAGCCTTTCCTCCCCAGGGAGATGTTCCATCCCTCCATCATCCCTGAGGCTGCGCTGGACTCTCTCCAGCAGTTCCCTGTCCCTCTGGAGCTGAGGGGCCCGGAACTGGACACAAGATTCCAGATGTGGCCTCACCAGGGCAGAGCAGAGGGGCAGGAGGACCTCTCTCGACCTACTAGCTACTCCCCTTCTAACCCAGCCCAGTCTTGAAAGCTGCCGCAGTTTAGCAGTTTTAGAGCAGGGGCCTTTCTGTGCAGCCCCCTCAGTGTGTCACTTGCTGGTGCTTTTGGTCCCTGGGGCTGCCAGCTCAACCTGAGTGTTGGTGCATCCCGCTGAACTTGCAGAGTGCAGCGATAGTTCCAGCACTTGTCAGCATTGCCATCGGAGAGGCCCTCTGCTGTTCACATGAGGACGTCCCTCATGAAGGGATCAAGTTCTGGACTCCTGGAGACAGGGAAGAGGGTCCCTTGTGGGCTGTGGAGGCGGAGTGGCTGGTGTCGTGGTTCAGCCCTGACCACCTTTCTGCTCTCCTGCCCACAGGCTATTACTGCCCTAGCCCCACAGGCGAGTACACTGATCACAGTCCTGGGGGGGATTTTGATTTCTTCTCGCGCCTGGTGAGCTCCTGGGAGGCTGCAGCTCTCGTCCCTGGGAGCCCGGCTCGCGGTGTTGTGGTGAGATCTGGTGAGATGGGGTCTCGTGCCTGTCCAGGGTGGCTCTGCTGTGGTGCTGGGAAGAGGGTGGAGGAGGACATCAGGAATTGTGCCTCTCCTTGCTGGGGTGCTGTTCCAGACCAGCGCTCTAAGGATTGACCCCTGGTCGTAGATCTGGGGAGAAGGGGCTTTTGTCTGCTGAGGGGGTGGGTCCTGGTCTCTTCTCCCTGCAGGGGTGGTGCTGGGCCGGGGTGGTGGTGCGATCTCCCAGATGCTCTGGCCTTTCTGCCTGGGACTAGGGGGCCCCATGGGCTCTGGGCTCCAGCCCTTCCCGTGGATCCACGTTCGAGACCTGGCTGGGATCGTGTGTCACGCCCTGGAGAGCGAGTGCCTGCAGGGTGTCTTCAACGGTGTCTCCCCATCCTCCGCGGCCACCTCCAACGGCACCTTTGCTCAGGAGCTCGGCGCAGCCCTGGGGCGCCCGGCGCTGCTGCTGACGCCTGTGTGGGCCGTGCGGGCTGTCTTTGGGGCAGAGCGGGCTGTCCTGCTGCTGGAGGGTCAGAGGGTGGTGCCAAAACGCACCCTGGAGAGCGGCTTCATCTTCCCTGACCTGCCTGCGGCTCTGAAGGACATTGTGGCTTGAGGACTCCTCAGCTGGACTGGGTTGGGCCCTGGTTTTGTGCAGTCCCTGGCTCACGTGCCTTCCGCTGGCTGAAAGAGGGAATC